GTCGTTTCAATTTTCTGCCAGCCTACCTGGCTGGGCACTGGTTCCTGCTGGTGCTTGGCCCCCTGAATGTATTTTTAGATGTTTTCTTCCCTTTGGGGTAGATGTGAACTTGGGATGGATGCATGGCTTTTCCTGCCTGGCTTCCAGCTGACCGGGACCTAGCTGAGACCCCTTATTTGGGAAGAATCCTGGAGGTTGAAGAGTGGGGTCCCGGAGTGCTATCTGGACGGCGTACTCTTGACTTGGTAGTGACTTCAGTGTGTGGCCAGGTTCAGGAGCCCATGATGGGCTTCTCTGCAGCCCCTGCCCATCGGTGTGGGTCAGCCGCTCACTGGTTGCCCTCCTTTGGATCCATTGCAGGGGCCCGGGCTTACCATTGTTTTTTTGTGTTTTTTTTTCTTTCTGCCAAGTGGCATTCAGAGCAGCGCGAGATCCCATTGCCATCGGTTCAGCTGCTTCATCTGTCTTTGGAAGAGAATCACCTGTCTTTATCGATCACAGCATTCTTTTGGCAAGTTCTTGCTGACTATTACAAACCTCTTTGATTGAACTAACATACATTAAAAATATTCAATGTTTGTATTCTAAATATATCGTATGACTTTTATATGTTTTTTTCCCCAAGAGGAGAAAAACATAACAATAGTCTTTGCAAAAAATTCTCATGCACGGGCCAGTATAAGCTTCATTCTTCCCTCCTGTTTCAAGGTTAGATAACCTCAGACAACCTCAAGACGTTTGCATTTCAGTCAGTGATGTCTCATTAGTGTTCTCTTTTTAAATGTAGATTCTACCTACTCGTGTTCTAGTAGATTCAATTTAAAAAAGTGAAATTTGTTCTAAAATATTTTATGTTTTATGCTATTGATATTTTTCCCTAGCGTGTGTCTCAGAAGTTGTCTGCATTTTGTTTAGTCTTTTCCACGCAGTCACGTAAGGAGATCGTGCGGGAAGCTTTTTAAAATCCCTGGGCTTGTGGTCCTTTCCTGTGTGATTCAGCTAAGCTGGGAGTGGGGCGGGGCGCTGGGCACCCGGGGCACCCGAGTGACTCATCAGAAGTTTCTCACCCCCATTTCAGTGGAAATTCTCTGCCTGACAGTTTCAAAGCACCGGTAAGCCATAGAAGGGCTCATTCTTCTCTGGTCTTTTATTAATGCTGTATTTTAGACTCAGCTGGGTTCAGTTTTTCTGCTAAGGATGTGTGTCCTGAAGGACTAATTTAGAGGCGTGCACCGTTCCAATCCTGCACATTACAAAGAAATTGGCCCTTGACCACCTTCCGGAAGGTAACTTTGGAGCCTTTGGAATATCCTGCCCACTGAGAGGGTCTCAGTGTACACGGGGCCTGGAATCAGCCATACAATTTACATTAACTACGTACATCACAGGCAGGGCCTCGGCCGCACCGTGTCACTGTGACCCCCAGAGGGGCTGGAGCCTGAGTAGTGGGGTGAGCCACTCAGGCACCCCTGCCTCTGTGAGTGACCCCTGATGAAACCCTGGGAGCCAGGGCTCCGGGGGCGGCAGTCACACCTGTGCAGACTGCCCCGGCTGGTGGTGTTCCACACGTGCGTCACACCTGGTTGCTGGGAGGTGTGAGCCCTGTCCACACAACTTCACTTCGAGGGGACAGCTGGGAACCCGTGCCTGGCCCCTCCTGGGCTCCACCCTATGTGCCTTTTTAAAAAAGATTCTATTTACTTATTTTTAGCCAGAGGGGAATGGAGGCAGAAAGAGAGAGAAACATCAGTTGGTTGCCTCTCACACATCCCACCACACCACCCCCCGCAACTGGTGACCTGGCCCAAAACCTAGGCACATGCCCTGACTGGGAATGGAACCAGTGACCCTTTGGTTCGCAGGCTGGCACTCAATCCACTGAGCCACACCAGCCAGGACCATCCTGCGTGCCTTTCATCATTGCTGATTTTAATCAGTACCCTTTCACTGTAATTAGCCATAATCTGGAGTGTAATGGCTTTTCTGTGTTCTATGAGTTCTTGTAGCAAATCATCGAACTGGAAAGTAGTCTTTGGTACCGCTGACTTATGATGATAAGAGCTTTTTATTTTTATAAGACTATTAAAGAAAAGAATAATGATTTCTTTCTAGTATGCAAAGAGTTGTTCCTTTTAAAAAATTTGTTTAAATTGGCTGTTAAATTTTGCGAATACCTTTTTATCACTTCTAAAGGCGTTTCCTTAAGTTTTATTTTGTTCACACGATAAAATGCATTGTTCTCCTAAATTTGAGATTTTTCATTTCTCAAATTACGTTTGGTTGTGCTCTGTATTTAAATATACTTTTCTCTTTGATTTATTAATATTTTGCTTATGATTTTGTGGTGAGTGATTTGGTATTTTGTCTTGCATCATACGTGGGCAAATGTTTTAACTGCTATAATTTAAAAGTGTTTTATAAGAAGACTTTCTGAAATGTGGTACTTCCCACCTCCTTAAACACAGCGCTGCACAGTTGAATGTTTTCCTGACTCACTCCCCCATTTTGAACATTACGGTGTGTGACGGGCCCGCTGGTCCTGTTGCGGTGAGAGCAGCTTCCTCCTCTGCATGAAGTGCTCCCCAGACCACTCCCTGTTTGGACTTCGTGGGTTTGCTTTCTTTTGTTTTTCCTGTGCTTTGAGTCCCACTCGTAATTCTCAGGTTGCCTTTCTGTAACAGTCCCTCCCCTCCCTTTTCTTGGCTCCTTTTTAACGGCTGTGGGCTTAGAGACTGCATAATTCAGCCTGTTTATAGAATCATTTTCAAAATGAGAGTAAATAGGCCCTGAGTAGGAGCCTGGAGCCCTGTTCTCTAGATGAAAAGCATCTGTTACATGTTGTGGATTTTTAAATACACTTTTTGGGTTTTCTGGGGATAGTTAGCTCCCTCTTTAGTTGTTGGTTGTTCTAAATAGTTAAGTCATAAAGTTGATTGGTGAGGTTTTTCATCTGTCTGCCTGCCCATCCATCCATTCAGCTATCCGTCCACCCACCCATTTGCACATCCATCCATCCATCCAACCATCCATCCATCCATCCATCCATCCATCCATCCATCCATCCGCCCATCCACCCATCCATCTTCCTACTCACCCATCTTACTATCCATCCTTCTATCCACCCACCCACCCAACCTACCATCTATCCATCCACCCCTTCACCCTTCCACCCATTTATCCATTCATCCACCCATCCATCCCTCCACCCATTTACCCCTCCACCCCTCCACTCATCCACCCATCCACCCATCTATCCATCCATCCATCCATCCATCCATCCATCCATCCATCCATCCATCCATCCATTCGCCCATCTATCCAACTACCCATTCACCCATCCACCCATCCATCTTCCTACTCACCCATCTTACTATCCATCCTTCTATCCACCCACCCACCCAACCTACCATCTATCCATCCACCCCTTCACCCTTCCACCCATTTATCCATTCATCCACCCATCCATCCCTCCACCCATTTACCCCTCCACCCCTCCACTCATCCACCCATCCACCCATCTATCCACCCATCTATCCACCCATCCACCCATCTATCCACCCATCCACCCATCCATCCATCCATCCAATCAAGCATCAACATGGTGCTCTATACTGGATAGCTTAACCTAACAGGTCGACATAGTATGTAAACCAGCCTCTGCCTAGCAAATAGCATGGGAGCACAGTCTAAACTTTTTTTGTGGGAACTTTTGGTAAAGACCTTTTGAGTTTTATTTTCTCTGGTAATAACTTCTATTTCAGATTTTTAAGTTTCAATTAGAAGAATGCTGTGGAGAAGAGTTAACATAACAGGCCCGAGACCACTGTCCTTCAAAAGGCCTGCTTGCAAGGATGGCCCATGTCTGGCACATGAGAACCTGGCCCTTGGAGGGCTCTCACGTGACCTTGACCTGCCAAGGGCAGTTGACGGAGCCTGGACTGTCAGAGCAGACAGTGTGGTTTGCACTGCACACTTGCTTTCCTTCAGGGAGCCTGGGGTTTCGATACTTGTTGGACAGTGAACACCTTGGTTGCTTGAGACTCTGATGGGCTTCCATGGGCAGAAACCTCACCCACATGTGCTGCGTTTTTGTACGCAGCACTGGGGGGAGAGAGCTCTGGGCCACCCCGAGTGGGAGAGGGGGAGCCCGAGCTGCTCTGGGCCCAGAATCCTCCAGGCCCGCCTGCGCCTTCTCCCTTCTGATTATCCGGGGTCTTTGCTGTGTTGCGCTATAGTCGTCCCCTCCTCTCTGTGGTTTCACTTTCCACACTTTCAGTTACCCGTGGTCAACCACGGTCTGAAAATGCTAAAAGGAAAACTCCAGGAATAAACAGTTCATAGGTTTTAAGTTGCGTGCCATTCTGGTAGCATGATGAAATCTCGCACTGTCCCTCCGGGACATAAGTCACCCTTTGTCTGGTGTGTCTGCTCTGTCATGCTGTCGGCCTGTGAGTCACTTAGTAGCCACCTGGGTTTTCAGATTCACTGTCACTGTGTCACAGTGCTTGTGTTCAAGTCACCCTATTTTACTAATAGTGGCCCCAAAGTGCAAGAGTAGTGATGCTGGCAATTTGGATATGCCAAAGAGAAACTGTAAACTGTATTTATCTATGTATAGAAAAATTGTATATATAGGGTTCAGCACTATGTGTGGTTTCAGGCATCCGGGGGTTGGGGGGTTGTTGGAATGTGTCCATTTTGGATAGGGGGACGCTGAGCTAAATCTTCACCGTGACTATGACCACGTGTGGGTCTGTGAGTCCTCTAGCAAACCTCTGAATGTGAGGGTGGTCTTGGGGCCCCTGGCATAGATGCCTAATGTTAAGATTTCCCATGGTTTGTGCAGCTCAGTACTCATTGCTTTCTATAGACCGTCTCATTGAATTTTCCCAGGAGTCCTGGGAGGCCATTCGCTGTCCTCCCCACCGCTGCAGGCACACACCTGTAGCTCACACGTTCGTCTCGGTGTCTGAGTGTTTGTCCAATCACTGCCATTTCAGGTATGAGTCCATCCTCACGGAGCCTGACCCAGTACCAGCGTACGCTCTGAAACTGCTGGTGGCCATGACCGAGCACAGCCCAGCTTTCACCAGGTACGCTCACTTCGCAGTTTCCTTCCTCATTGCTCATCTGTGAAATGGATTTTATATGTTCCGAAAATGTTAAAGTTGATGATATTCTAAAAGTCTGGCAGTTGAGTTACCCAAGTGGTAATTTTTCGTGTTTTATGGTTTGTAATATCTGTCATTTGTGCCATTTTGGATCTTGTCCTATTTTTATCCCTTGCTGGAGTTTGCATCCTGTGGAATTTTTGATGCTTTAAAAATGGCAAATTCTTGAAAGAGAAAAAACTAACACAAATCCTTGTAAAATGTCAATTACTGCCTCACTATATTGAATATTTTGTTAAACCTATAGTGTTTATAGATCATTTTAAAAGGATATGTGTCACCCATTCTAATTTTTGAAAGTGCCTAAAATGGTAGCTTATTAATAACCTATGTCATTTTCCCCAGTGACTTGGTAGTAGCGGTTTGTAGGCAAGATGAAGTATATATCAAGAGCAGAATTCCTTTGGTGTCATGGGCAAATAGATTTTTTTAAAGATACTATTTATTTATTTTTAGAGAGGGAAAGTGGGGAAGAAAGAGAGGGAGAGAAGCATCAATGTGTGGTTGCCTCTCACCCCTACCCCCCACACTGGGGACCTGGCTGGCAATCCAGGCATGTGGCCTGCCTGGGAATTGAAGTAATGACCGTTTGGTTCACAGTTCACCAGCTAGGGTTCAAATCGATTTCTAGCAATGTAAAAATAACCATGAACCATTTGTTATAAGTTTAACTTATACATTGGATTCTTTAGCATTATGTTCTTTGAAGGGTACGCATCTTAATTTAGCATTAAGAATTTAGAGTACTAAGTAATAACTATTGGAACATTAAAGTATCCTATGTCAAATGAAATACTTATTATTTTACTGTGTTTATTCTTATTTATGGGATTCTTAGTGGATAAAGAAGTCGTCAAAAGCTCAGTCATAGAGCAATGGAGAATTTATTGTTCCCCTTAACTAAGAACAAGAGCCTGATCAAATGAATCCCCATTGTTCCTGACAGGGATTTTCCTAAAAGGCACCATGGCCCTGTGAATCTGGCTTCTTATTGGGTTGATAGCAGAACAGGAAATTGCTACATCAGTTCAAGGTTACTGTTAGGTGGAGTGTTTAAACCCCCTGTGCTCTGGCCTTTCCCCGCACCTTCATTTTACAGCAGGTCGCACCGCACCATTGCTCACAGAGAGAGCAACACCTCTGGGGCTTTTTTCTGTTAAGAGGTAATCAATTTCAGCAAATCTTCCTTAGCAAACAAATTAAATTTTAACTTGCACGTTTTTGGAGCAACATTTAGCTCTTTTCCTGAATTGAAAAAAAAAGTTTATTTCTTACCTAAGAATTATCATTTTGTTTTGCTTGGAAATATTAGAGCTCAAGTACTATCATTGTTGTTTTACTGCAAGAGGTCTAGCCCGGGCTGTCCAAGTGCGAACTGAAGGTCAAGATTTCAAGCTTCCTGAGCATTTAAACAGTGGGTGTTACGGCCAGCAACACCGTCAGCTCACGGCATCCTGACTGTGGAAATAACAAACAGAGTCTTGTGGTATGACCAGCGTACTGCCTCAAGTCTGGGGGAATCTGCCCCTTCATAACATTTGGCAAGTGTTAGCATCTCAGTCCTGTTGCAGCGTTTGCAACTTTCTTTTCCTAACTTACCAGGGTCACTTACCATTTCAGAATTCACAAAGCACGTGTGCTGCCAACTTGTGCTGTTGCTTATCTGCTCTGAGTAACTCCTGCCTTGTCCGTAAACATTTTCCACACACTCGTTGCTGTCAGTCGGCTCTGGGGCAGGTGGAGCCCAAGAGAAGGGACTGTAACACGTGGCCTGAAGCACAGGCTCCCAGTTCACTTCTCACGTCTCAAGGCCAAATCCTCTTCCGTATCAGGTCTTGGGGTTTTCTGCGATGGCAGTTGCTGCTCAGAATATGTTGCCGTGTTTGCTGCACAGACAGGGCCTTGGTCATGTAATTAAAGACCATGAGCGCTGCCAGACTAAACAGGGGCCTGAGTTTGCAGTGTTCCGTGACTTCCTAGGCACGCTCCTGTTACCGCCTCAAACATGTGCCGTCACTTAGCCGTCTTTGCCATAGCGAAGTCGCAGGAAAGGAGCCCGGGCAGGGGGGCAGACGTGCTTCTTCAGTGAGGTGAAGGCCTCTGAGGTGCCCCGCACCCTTCTTTCTGCTGGGGTCATAGATACAGCTCAACCCGGCTGCTTGCAAAGTGCACAGACTTCATTTCAGTATCTTGAAATTCTAAAGGAAGATAGGCCCAAAGGGAAAGTGGGCCAAGGAATGAAGAGGCCATTTCTAACAATAAACATGAAAGAGAGTCGCCTTTGGTAGTGATCAAAGAAAGTTCCATTAAAATAATAAAAAGATCAAACTGGCAGAGGTAATACTGTTAAATTAAGTGTATCGGGGTAACATTGGCCGACAGCACAGCGTGCATTTCAGGTGCGCAGCTTCATGGACAACATCCGCGCACCTGTCTGTGTGCACACTGCCCAGAGTCTTGTCCCCGTCAATCACCGCAGGGTCCGTTTTCCCACAGCACCGTCGAGAGTCCAGTGAGATGTGCACGTTCACAAATTAGTGCGTCTTTGGTGACAAGCAATTCCACTTCTATGACCATATCGGAAGAACATAGTAAAAGATGTGCACAATATTTATATACAAGGGCATTCATTAAGACAGTATTTAAAACAACAATAGTAGTAAAGACAGCTGGTCTCTGTCTTCAAATAGAGTGTCCTAGGTAGGGACCAGATGGGCTGGCCGCCTCGTGTGCCCAGACTCGCTTCTTCCCGAGTGTCACCGAGTGATGTGGGCAGAGACATGTGTCTGTGGCCCAGGAGCACGGAGCTGGGACAACCCACGGAGGGTGTGAACCCATCAGAAGTGGCCCCTCACCCACGACGTGTGTTTGCTTTCTAACGAGTGCTGATAAAAAGCAGCGCCTAAGGATTCGCTCCAGAGGACTAGTTACAGACATGATCGGACAGGAAACTATGTGGGTGCAAGGACTCACTTTGAATGAATAGTCAGTGACGTGGGAAAGGCTTTTAATAAACCCCGATATATGTATTAGGACCTGAACTTGATCTCCCACCCCGTATCCTGATACAGTGTCTGTAACAGGCTCTTACACTAGACGGATTCCAGTTCTCATCCCAGACGTGTTGCTGGCTTTGCGAGTGACACTGAGCATTTGCCTCCCCAGTCTAAGCTTCAGTGTCCTTCTCTGTAAAATGGACTTGACCTCATAGGGTCATTAGACATTAAGTGAGGCATGGCTGTCCAAATGACACAGAGCACATGCACAAGAAATGGTAGCTGTATATCATAGAGATGAGATCGACCTACATCCTATATGCATAGAAAAAAGACAAGTAAATAATACATCAAAACTTATTAATGATTTTCTTACAGTGCTGGGATTATATTCTCTTTGTAATGCTCTTCCCCTTTTCAGACATACTGCTCAATAAAATACATTTTATGCTTCTGTATATTCATACTTTATAAATAATTTTATATAAGTAGCCACATAAAGTTATGACGATTTTTAATCATTTGTGTAATCAGGAGAAACCCCCCCTACTTGTGAAGCACACCCCCTCACAGGCTGGTGGTCCTCACTGGATGTTAACGTTGGTGGCAGTCCGTAGCCTAGCTGCAGTTTTCGTGGTCGGCAACACAGCTCTGGGGCCAGTGGTTTTAAGTGGCTCACCACTCCGTTCTTGTCTGTGAGTACCTTGGTGTCATGGGCTGGTCTTCAAGACGGCTCCTGGAGTGAGCTGGAGGACACTGACGTCACTCAGTATAAAGAAAGTACAGTTTGTAGTGGTTGGGACTGAACCTCAGACCTGAACATTGAGGAGGGTGAGCAGGAGGTTAAACTGTTCCTTTTGACCCTCTTTCCTTTCAGCCCCATCAGTGCTCTGGCTCCCTGCATCCCATGGACACAGAGACCCCCAGGTGGTCTTCTTCCTGCTAGCTCTTTAAATGGGGGGCATGCCTCAGGGTCCTGCTCTCCGCCTAGTCACCCTTCTTTCCAGATGTAACTCGTGTTCCCGTCTACACTAGCCTTTTCTCTCTCTGCATTGTCTTACGGCGGCTTAGAGCCATTCGGATCACGGACTCTGAGGTTCAGGAGCTGTGTTACCCTGGGTAAGACTCAACGTTCCTTTTTGTTCTCTGTGGAATGAGGTTAATCGCATCTAACTCATGAGGGTTTTTTCTTTGTCTTTTTTTGTTAGGCCCCAGTGGGTTAGCTCATGCTCCTCACTGAGTCATGCGTGGTCCGTGTTTACTGTTGCGTGGTCACTGGTCGCATGCTGCAGCCTTTGTTCGGCCCCTCGGAGAGAGGAGGCCATTTCTGTTTTTCCTTCCGTACCCTCTGCAGACACCCGTGCCAGCGCTCTCACACTGCCCGGTGTGGTTCTTAACGCAGCCCCGTGTGAGGCACCTAAGGAAGGCTCTCGGTCAACGTTTAATAAATGAATGAGAGAGGAAGGGGAGGATCTCAGCCTGGTGTCTTAGCCTGTGGATGCCACAGCAAAAATATCTCACATTTCATTGAGTAACAGGACAAAAAGGGACTGTAGGAAACAGGCAGGTTCATGGAGTGGAGAAGAATTTGAAGAGTATCTCTGAGACGATCACTGTTTTCAGCGTTGGGCTCACTCCTGCAGGGAGAATAAGCGCTGGCCACGTGTCCTCTCAGGGACTGGCCTCTGGTTGGTGCCCCTGCCAGTCCAGCACTTTACTGATGCCGTTTCTTTCTGATTAGTTCCTGCCCTGTTCTGGCACAAGGATCAACGTGTTTCTTGCCTCTAGTTTTCAGTGCGAGGAGCTGTGTGATCAGTACAGAATCATGTCTTGGGGACAGTGCCAGGGGTTCAAAGAACTGTTAGAGAATGGTGAGCCAGAGCGCCACAGGGCTCAGAGTGGCAGGGGTGGGGGCTCAGGCCCCAG